CCTCAAGATGTCTTCTCTGTATCTCTCAGAGGCTGCATATAGCTTTCAGGGAAGAATGTTTCATATAAAGAAGTAATTTATTTCTGTCAGCTTACAGAGTACCTCTAGCTGGCATTCAATACAGTCTACCAGAACAGCAGGGAACAGAGAAGGCAGCTCTTGGTCACTACCAGAAGTGTTTCATTGCCAAGCAGTTATGAAATTTTCATTTTATGAATCACAGAATCTTAGTGGTTGGAAGGGACCTCTGAGATCATTGAGTCCAACCACAAAAAAAAAACAAAAACAAAAACAAAACAACAAAAAAACCCACAAAACAAACAAAAAAACCCAACGAAACAAATACAAAACACACCACACCAAACGCCCACCAAAAAAACACCGCACCCACCAACTAAACCCCACACTCAACACTTCACCATAAACCAATAACCTTGGGCACCAGAGCATGCCCTGAAGAGCCATGTCTATATGTTTCTTAAATCCCTCCAGGGATGGTGACTCCACCACCTCCCTGGGCAGGCTGTTCCAGTGCCTGACCACTCTCTCAGGAAAGTAGTTCTTTCTAATATCTAATCTAAATCTCCCCTGCCCCAACTTCAGGCCATTTCCTCTGGTCCTGTCATTATTCCCTTGGGAGAAGAGGCCAACACCTGCCTCTCTACAGTCTCCTTTCAGGGAGTTGTAGAGGGCAATGAGGTCTCCCCTCAGCCTCCTCTTCTCCAAACTGAACATGCCCAGTTCCCTCAGCCTCTCCTCGTAGGACTTGTTCTCCAGACCCCTCCCCAGCTTGGTGGCTCTCCTCTGGACACGCTCCAGCACTTCAATGTCCTTCCTGTAGTGAGGGGCCCAGAACTGAACACAGCACTCGAGGTGAGGCCTCACCAGTGCCCAGGACAGAGGCACCATCACTGCCCTACTCCTGCTGGCCACACTATTCTTGATACGAGCCAGGATGCCATTGGCCTTCTTGGCCACCTGGGCACACTGCTGGCTCCTGTTAAGCCTGCTGTCTACCAACACCGATGAATGAACCCATGGGCCAGGCATCTTTGAGCACAAGTCTAGCATGGCTTGTTTATGCCTACAAAAATGTAGTCCTTGAAAAGGGTGGTTACCCTAACCATGAAGCAAACAGCAGCAGTTCTCCAGTTTCTCTCAGTAGGTTTATTTAGGGGAATTCAGGCTTTTATACAAGGCATTCATGCTTAGACACAGATAAGGTATCAGAATGTGGACCACTTGGTTTCATTAGCAAGATTTGGGTGAATGTTTATAGCTGATAGCGCTGCTCCACACCTGCTGTGAGTCTGCTAACACAGTACTAATGCTATCATTAATCAGCCTCATTGGAATACTACAGTTATTATATTTTATAATAATATCCCAGAGAAAACTGAGACCAGAGGCTCAGCTTGCACATAACTTACAGATTTTCCTCTTTCCCCCCATTCAGACCCACTCCCACCAAGTTGTGAAGAATTACACACAATGGCCGTATCATGCAATTATCTTCCAGGGAGGCATAATGCTGGATACTCACCCAATTCCTTCATTGCATACAAGTAGATGGCATAAGATTTATTTGGGTACAGTGAGCTGTCAAACACGCAGGAAGGTTTTTCTAGAGCAACTGTAGTTAGAGTGGGATTGTTTGTAGCAAGCTGAAGGGCTGCAACCTGAGGCTTCAGGCTTTGGTCTAGAAGAGAAAATTAAGAAAAAGTGTAAAAAAAAAAATAAATCTTTTTCCTCTCCCTCTGCAAGCTCTGACCCACAAGGGAGGATCTGGCAGTGCTAACAAACAACACTAAACCATAAAAGAGGGATGTGAACTGCAGTTCAGCAGGAAACAGCTGACCTGTGAAAGTTTAAGTGTTTTGATTCAATGCAAAATGGGGAACCCAAGGATTTGGGAAGGGAGGTAAGAGATGTTACTCCTACAACATACCAGTCACATCACCTCAGAAGGGCAAATGCAAAGCCTCATTAGAGGAGAGACTTGCTCCACTGTTTTTAGGGTCCCATGTTGTGCCTTCTCCCCTCTAGTGGCAGCAGCAGAACCTGTACAGTCAGTTCTTGAAACCTTTAGCAGCAAGGGGTCTTAAAAAGGTTTTCAAGACCAGTCTTGTTAACATACAGAGTAAAAGATTTAGCAGAGCCTTGCAGAAAGGAAAACTGTCTGGGAGAGGCACTGGAGAGAGCAAGTGGTATCAGAATGAAGTTTATATCAGACACTTCCTCCCTCCTCACACAAGCTCATCCCATCTCCAGTCTCCTGGGGAAGTTTAACTGAAAACAGAGAGAGATTCAGCAGCTCCTCCTGCTTCCCAGCCTAGCTGTAGACACACTAACAATCTTCCAGAAGAATACGTGTTTGAAGCTGTAAACTCCCCTCCCGACACAGGTTCTAAAGCAGGGAGTTGAAACCCAAGACAAAACAAATAAATAAATAAGAGAAACAAAAAAAGGAAGAGATACAAACAGAGGAGCAACAGAAAAGGAGAAGGGGCTGCATATAGATGCCCCTTTGTCTGCACACAACTGTCCCAAGCAGCAAAAGGCTAATGCAACCCAACATTGCTCATGCTTGAGCCCTCCAGAAACCTGCCACAAAGGGGAAAAACAATGCTGGAAGGCAGCCCCTACTGAAGAGCTCCCACATCCATCCATCCATCCATCCATCCATCCATCCATCCATCCATCCATCCATCCATCCATCCATCCATCCCCTCCCTGAAGTCAACCACACCTGCTCCTTTTCATAAGGTTCCTATGATTAGGAGCTGCCCATCTCCTCAGCACCCCCCTATATACTTATTGCCCCTCCTGCTCAGGTGTCACAAACAACCCCCATTACCCACCTCACCCCCCATCTATTATCTGCTTGGGTGTTGCAGCTTTTCTGTTGTCTGTTTTGATGCTTTAGAAAGCAAATGAGGGAGCAGCACTTTCTTATAAAACTTGGAAGAATATTACAAAATATTCACACATGCAATTAACTTGCATGCCATGAAGGAAAGTATTTCTTTTCTCTACCATCCAATGTGTCCCGGTGTCTATTTAATTTTTTTTAATTATACAAATAATGTGTCTATTTTCTGTCTTAAGGAACAAAAAAGCCACTGTTGATTGCTCTGGAAGGGTTACCTGTCTAAAGAATTCCGGGTCTTATTTTACAGGAATCACTGTAAACAACCTCATATTGGGCATCAGCGTAGCTCTCAGCAGTGCTATGGGTGGAAACATAGGGGTTTTTTCCCTTTTTGTTCTTTACCTTCTTTTGTGTGAAAACTCTTGAAATCTCTCATGTATGGAGAATTTGGAACTAAATATCATCTAGTCTGCCTCGTGGATTGTTCTGATTCAGAGCTCTAAATTTGGGCAGCTTTAACAGAGGTTATAGTTGCCTTCTGAATTGTGTTTCCTGGGTTACATCCTGAAAAACATAAGCCTTCTGCTTCTGGTTAACCCTGGTGTGATTCAGGACAACTACATGAAGAACAAACCACCGGGAAAGCTGAATCTGACCTGTTGTACTGAATTGTTCAACTGAGAATATTCTTGATGAGTAGTTGCTATTATGAATGGTCTATTACATAAGAGCTCAGATTACAAAATTATTAATCACCCACTTAAAATAAGCTGAGGGGAGAAAATAAATATCAGCAAGATTTTTGAGAATTAGTGGGCCTAACATGATGTCACTGCAGCAACTCCAGATTTACACGAATATCACTACAGTTACGTACCAAATCCATCTCCTTTATGGATATGCCATGGGCCCCAGAAATCTGTTTGAAATATGTAATCCAATGATTATAATGCAATTTCCTCCCCATATGTGTCCCATTTTGTTTCAAACTCTGCACGTCATCTTCAGTGTGTTTGGTTTGACTTTTTTCTCACACTGCTTTTGAGGGAGAATATTGAATACAGGAGTTACCCTAGATTTGCATTGCTATAGAACGAGTTGTATTATTCCTTCTTACTCTGCAATGCACTCTAAGCCTGTGCTGGCATAAATACTCAGGTAAATCACATTGAGACAGAGAAGGTCTTACCCTTTCATCTCCTATTACTAGGAATCTGATTTTTAACATTTACACCAGGGGGGTTAGTTGTACAAACTTGGTACCGATTTGGTCAAGAGTGCTTTTATCCCTTAAAATGCACAATATAATGCACAAAATCTGTAACATATCTGACTCCACGGTAAAAGCAGAATTTAATAACAATAAGATCTCTTTCTCCATCACAAAATCAATACTTTCTCCAAACAGTGATTCCTGTAAAATAAGACCCGGAATTCTTTAGACAGGTAACCCTTCCAGAGCAATCAACAGTGGCTTTTTTGTTCCTTAAGACAGAAAATAGACACATTATTTGTATAATTAAAAAAAATTAAATAGACACCGGGACACATTGGATGGTAGAGAAAAGAAATACTTTCCTTCATGGCATGCAAGTTAATTGCATGTGTGAATATTTTGTAATATTCTTCCAAGTTTTATAAGAAAGTGCTGCTCCCTCATTTGCTTTCTAAAGCATCAAAACAGACAACAGAAAAAAATCAGTTTAAAAAACCAACAGATTAAGGCTCAGAATCACAGCAAAATTTTTATTAAAAGGCAGCAATTATTTTTTTTTAGATTCACAGCCATCTAGCAATAAATTCAGCACTTAATACTCAAGCAAAACTTTGTATGACCTTCTTGGAGTCTTGCCTGGATGAAGACTCTGGCAAACTGCTCCCGGGGCTACAGTCATGCAAACTGTTACTTGGGCAATTAGTTTTATAACAGCCAGCAGCATGTCAGTAGAGCTGCTCATCACAGAAAGTTGATCACCTTTCAAAGTGGTTACAGGATGACAATTTTAGCCATTATTTTTCATTGTGGCTTTTTTAAGCCATCATGATTTAGTTGAGTACGAGGCCATCTTGTGCTCCGGTGGAATTCACCAGCCACAATAAGGAGGGCTAACGTTGCCTGTGTTGATAGATTTTAATATCGTTGACTATATCTCATGCTCAGAAAAATCTCAAACAAAACTAGAAAATCAGCATGACAATAAACTCTCTCAGCTCCATTTGTACTGGCAGATGTGCCCTAAATTAGGACCAGATCTCATCCTTGCTTACCCTTGTGTAAATCTATATTAATTCCAGTGAAGTCAGGGGGAGCTGATCTGGATTTAAAGGATATTACCGTGAACAAACTTAACTCAGTGTAATTACAGAATTCCCTGAAGCACAAGAAAAGACATCAATGTCAATTCCTAAGTCTTTGTTTAAGCAACAATGCCAATTTTCTTGCTCCAAGTTACCTTGTGGGCGATTCTGTAGTAATTAATAGAAGCCTCTAGAATCAGTTTGAATTGATGGCTCTGTGAGAACAAAGCTTGTCCGTAGCCCTGGCTTTCCAGGGCTCTGTGAAGTTTGTGTTTGGGGGAGAATGGGGCCTGAAGTCCCCAAAGGCCATGAAATGCATGGAACCCTTCAGGATCTGAAGTCCAAACCTTCTTTACATGCTTGGCTGCACGTGTAGCGGAGATGACTCTCCATACTCTGCTGTGCTCCATCTTTCTGGGCCACTGCACAGGCTACAAATTATGGGCAACTTGCAATCCCGGTTCTATGCAGAGACATTACAGTGTTTAATGAAGAGATTAAAAACCGTGGTGGTGACATCAAGAAGTAATCAAATCCAATGAGTGAGAAAGACACATAAAACGTAGAATTAATTTTAAAGTACTTGGACATTCCTCACAAGTTTTCTGCATAGCTATTGTTAGCTTGTAATTTCCTGCAGATATCCTGGTGGTTGTAGACCTTGAGGAATGAGCTAGAAGAGGAGAGGAGTAAAGCCTTTGTGAATCAATTTTTTAAAAACCTTCCATAAATATGGGACATGTGGATGAGAATGAAAAGACGGTTAAAAGAAAAAAGTTGATAAAACGGGTAATTAAGGTTTGGGAGAGTAGTAGAGAGCTGACACAGTGGAAATGGAGAAGTAGAGAGATGCAGCGTTATAAAATATTGTGAAAGTGAGGACAAGTTGGATGGAGAGAAACGATAGAAAAGTTTTTCCTTCTGTCTAGTCACTGCTCTTTAGACATGATCTAGGAGGAACTGTAACCACCTCTGCTGCTCAGTCTTATGCCTCCTCTGGTCTGCAGAGGTTAGCTGCAAGGGAAGCAGCTGTCCTACTGCTGGTATGATAAGAACATCTGCCCATTTGAGAGTGGCACTGAAACCAAAAAATCTATAAAAAGAGGTGACTGGTCAGCTACTACAGACTTCAGAAATGGTTGTTCTGGGGGCTGGTATTTGTAACAGATTGTCATGGGCAGTGAGTGTCTGGAAATACAAGTTATCCTGGTCGAATAGTGGAAAGTTTCATCTAATGATAAATGATAAATAACTTTCAGGCACTACTGCACTGTATTTATATCGATAATATCTATTTATATAGATAAAAGGCAGAAATTTCCCACTGATAAATGGATATCTCTCTGGATACAGAGAGAAAACTCCTCAGTGATGCGGAAGGTAAAATGCCTCTTATGACACTTCTCTCTCTCAAATTCTTCCCAGAATACTTCAAGGCTGTAGGAGAGTCACATCTCACAAAATCTGCTGCACAAGGGCCACATGGATTCCTGGTACTGTTGTGCAGTTCTGAAATCTCTTTGATATGT